CCGGTGACCACTATCACAATCGATAAGGTGTGGGGGTGGTTCTTACGCCTCTTCTTGGTTGGTTTGGAATCAGGGGTTTTTGCCAACTCCCCTAGCTGAACTACCAGGGGTCCACCAACCCGGTCATAGCCCCAGGTGTCGGCTATTTGTCCTCTCACCTTGGTTGAAAACACCTCCACCACGGGAAGGAAGTGAGGAGGGCTTCCTCAATAGAGGCTATTTAGTCGTATAGGAGCATTTCGCGGGGTGCAAGGGACCGGCCGCAACCCTAGACAGCCATCCCCGACCATTCTGAGGTTGTCGGACATCTAACCTAAGAACTCCAATGTAGAGGCAGAACCAATCTTCGCTTTTCGTTCTGTTACAATAGCGAACTGGATTGGAAACAACGGAAACAAGGGATGAAGTGTTTAGGTTCCGACCCGTCTCCATCACAAAAAACTTTAGTACCGAATCAGAAATAATCCTCCTTATTCAGGACATTGTAATTGGTTTCAGACGTTTTCTTCGTCTTTCCAAACATTTAAATTGCATTTTTTCACCCATGGTAACTCGATTTTTTGACCAACGCTGCGCAATTCGTGCTCATTTACTATTCATATTGAACTGTGACATCTTCATATGATACGACTAGCACTCTCAGTAATTTCTAATTATTTATCTTGAATATTTCAAGGCCATATTTTTTCAATCACGATACCTATAATTTATTACCTTGTATTTGTCAAACTGCTATCAGACACATTTTCTTAATCTGCTGGTTAAATTCTTCATTGCCCACTCCATGCTCTTCAACATGGTTTTTCAAAATGTCACTCTCAAAAGTTCGCTGTAACTATTCATCGTTTTTGATCCTTGCATCCATTCCAATATATCCATATTTTACATAAATTCTCATTGATGAGAATAAGCGTTTGGTAGATTTTTAAACAAGCCTTAATATTGGAAACTTGATTCCTTCATTTCACTTGCTTGTTTCTCCTGACTGAAGTGTTTGTACGTTTACGCTGAATTTGATTTATAATAACAATCAGCAATGTGCATCACAAGCGACAGGCAATTTGCGACATTTCATGCATCTACCGAAAACTGCTTTCTATTATGAAGCATACCGAAACACTCAACTGGTAAACTTTTGTGCGTTCGTTTTTGTCACAGGTCATACTCACTGTACGAGATCCGAACACATGGATTCAAAGTTTACGCGAGACGGTCAAACCAAAGAGGCCTCTGTTTGGATCAGGCTGGTTGAAAACTTTGAAAGAACTAATCATTTTGACTCCGGGGTTTGAGCACATGACGGACCAATCTGTTTCCTTAGCTCTAGGAAAGAATTTGGACTTGAATGATGATGAACAGATGAAACAGGCATTTGTGCGTCGAAACGAAGAAGTTAAACTAGTGGTACCAGCAGATCGACTGCTCGTATTCCAGGTCAAAGAAGGCTGGGAACCTTTGTGTCGATTTCTGGGGAAACCGATTCCAGAAGTTCCATTCCCCCACGTCAACGATCGTCAGTCGATGAAGGAGCGATTGAAACAGTTTCAAAGGCGAGCCAATATTGTCGTCGCTTCCAGCCTGATCCTTCTTGGTGTGGCTCTTGCTTTGGGAGTATTCTGTTCCAAATTAACATGAATCCTGCTATTTTTCTTTCTAAATTTATCCTCCCACTTTCATGATGTTTCCTTTTTATTCTCAACAAAACTCATGCAAACTAGTTCTTGCAACAAACATATTTATTTAAACTTGTTAATTCCGTTTTTAACCAGAATTGCTTTTTATATGTTTTATAAAACTTGATTTCATTATGAATTGTATTTTATTGTATTGTATTGTAATGATACTCCTCATCCGAATAGACTGTCAGTCAGATAACTCAAACAGAAAACTTCACATTGGTATTCGACCAACGACGATTATTCATGGAAACGTGCATCTGTTTATTAAATACAGTAATAGATACCGTATGTGGCCGTTCTTGACGATTAGAGCGCATAAGCAATGGGTGGATTCGAGATTCAGGTGAATTCACGTTGGATATAGCGGTGCTGAAGTTGAACTAATTTAGTCATCAGAGAAAAATAAAATTTCAGCCGCTGATCCCCGAGGGTCACTATCTAATTCTGAAAACCGACGGTATGCTGAAAACTCAGAACGTGCATTTCCAAGTAGTGATGCATGATAGTTAACCTCAAAGAAAGGTATTATAGGCGTACTGCAACTAATGGCAATAAGTGAATTAGATTATGAATGTGTTCAAAATATCTCCATCCATATCCAAGACAGCAATTTTCAAATGAATATGGACGTGCTGGGATGGCATGTAACGTCCAGGTTGTCATGAATACTCATACGATCACATAGATGGGCTTATTGAAAAGTCCATACTGGGGAGGTCATTGAAACACCGTATATTTCGGAAACGAACTTCAATAGAAAACAGAGCGGCACAGTAGTTTACAATTGACTTCCAGAAATGTTTTGCTGTATCGCTTCCGGTACATACTTTAGACGAAACTTATACTGAAAACTAACTCGTTACAGTTTCCGCGGTTGAACTTTTGCGGTTGAATTTGATAATATTTGTACCAAGGCAGGGTTAGAATCGCACATAAGTCGTTCTGTTTTCACATTTCAAGTTCCTGTCGTGCTCAGCAACCTACCTAGGCAGAGCAGGGCAGAGCAGCAGGTTAGACTAAAAGTAGCCGAAATCATTTCAGTGTGAGAAAATAAACCGGTGAACTGGAATGATCAAGGTTAGAGGTCACCCCATCACGTGCGTCAATGTCCCCTCGTCACTAGGTAGAGAAACTTGATATCAAGTGAACGTGACCACGGTAATCAAAAGTACTTACAGTCAACCTCCTGCCACGTCTCACCCCCGAGAAGACCGATTTTCCAATTTCTACCCACATTTTGGAAAGCCAACCGTATGCGTTCTAACGTAGGTTCTGATCATGCAATGTCTTCCCCTCAATATGTCGCAGGCCCTGATACCTACTCACTTGGTCATTGACCGACGTTCGGGACGGCCCCAGACCAGTCAACCTGCAATGTCGCACTCATTAAATGGCATTTCACCTAATGTGACGCGAACATGACACCGATTGTATAATCCTTTCGAGGAAGACACACCGATGTCAACACTCGAAGACAGTGTCACTTGACCTCCAAATGTGCAATGGACAATCAACCAGAACATGTTGGGAAATGCTGAATCAGCCAAGTGCAGCTCACAGCTACATGGTCGAATAACTTGGTTTTTCAAGAAAAAACTGTTTACAGTGTTATATCTCATCGAACCACTATCGGATAATTTGTGAACGCTAGAGCATCCCAGGAAAGATGTCACCGGAAAACTAACAAAGAGTTCAGGACAGTAAATGAGGTGACCTTGGCATAATTTACTGCTCTGAGGGAAGGCAATTCAGTTAGTACATAAAATGCATCATCCTGACTTCAAGGGTTCCAAAGGTCGGTTTCACTTATGGTCACACATGTGGTATTATATCCTACAAAGTAAGAGANGACAAGCAGCTAATCATGTGGTGGTACCGCCTGAAGCAATGGGCAATTTTCTAGTGGGATTACCGTGGTTGATCCATATATATGCTAAATGTGATATTTTCAATGCAGATGAAACAACTTTGTATTACAAGTAGCTCCCAGAAAGCACATTAAATCTCAAAGGAAAAACAGTTCCTAGATATAAGAGAACCAAAGAAAGAGTCACGTTACTGATTCATGGGAGCATGACTGGAGAAAAAGTTGTCAGGGTTGGCTATTGGAAAATTTCAAACTCCACGAGGTCTCTGAGGTAGCCAAGGAAAACACCTTTCCTTTAGTCATAACTCTTCAAAGAACCAATAGATGACTTCTATGTCATTTCACATTTGGTTGTCCGATGTCAGTCACAAGATGGTTTTACAAAGACGCTCTATCTTACGAGTTATAGATAACGCCCCTTGCCATAACAAAGCCGTAATATTCTCCAATCTCAAATTAGTATGGCTGCCTTCAAACTGTTCTTCAGTGTTACAACCAGTGGACAGTGATTTGGTCTATCAAATGTTCGTTTCGGAAACGTTTACTTGAATATCTTTTGGCTATAATTGAAAGTGAGAAGCTTAGCACAAAATCAGAGGTGGGCATGCATCTGGTCAAGAAAGCCTGGGTTTCCATACATTCGCACGTAGTGATCAACACTTTCATAAACACTGGGATCAAGCCCAAATTGAATCAGCGGACGATCCTGTCACCACAAGGCTAATACTGATGTGACTACGATAGTTAAAACAGTTTTATATAATGGTNAATGGTGGACACGGTATACTTGATTCTGCGGTTAATCAAACAGTGCAAAGGAATGGCGGAATATCTAGAATTAATATGCGGTAGTTTGACTAGAACATTTTCCCCTGAAGAAAGGTGGATACTTTCGAGGCAACTAAGGAAATGAAACTGAAAAAGGACTAAACACCAGATGCAATGTGCTAACAATAAGCTGGAAGGCATCACAAAACATTGGAATTGCTTCAATATATAAAGGGTACACAGGACGGAATATTTAAATTTCCCTGTAAATATAAATATAAGTATATATTATTAAAGGAACTGTACACGAGTAACGGAATTCACGTACTTTTCATCGATCCGGTTTATTCATTTATTCCAGCCGATTTTCATACTACTTAATAGCATATACTACTGACCAGTATGCTATACCGCAGTTCCTGGAATTTACCCACCTTTTTAATTCTCAGGACGTACGACATAGCAGCAGGAGATTGACTGTAATTCGGACCAAGCGCATTGCATCGATCAGACTGTGAACTGGAGGTTTCGTTTTATCAGGTTGCGGGCTGGTTCTCCTGCAGACGTTGATAACAGGGAAACATTATCAATGTGGATAATCTTAGCTGGAACCGGAGGCAATTTCACTACTGAAAATGTGAACTTTCTGTAAAATCTCAAGAAATGATGGATCGGTAATTGAAGAATTGGTCCTGATTTCTGTGGCTCGTTGTCTCGTGTGAGTTTGTGTTAGATGCAAACATATGTTCACGTGACTTGTTTTTGATTTTGAGGAAAGAGGCACACATAGATGATTTCATATAGCTTCCAAGGATCAGCATTGGAATCTTCCTACACCATTATATATATTTTCTCAAGTAACCATATGATAAAATATTCCGATGCATCATGAATCAGCGTTTTGCATAGTGAGTCGTTCTTAGGATGCAGTATTAGTCATTGGTGATCAGGTAGTGGCAGACCGTTTTAAATTTTCAAATAAAATCACTCACCGTGTTAGGGCATTTGGTATAACTGTGAATTTCTGTATGAAGCTCTGATGCAGTTGTTTGAACATATTACGAGGTCAGTTTTATCAAGAAACATTCGATAGTGAGTCCAGCATTATTTGTGGCAAAAAGTCTTTCACAGATTTCATATTTTTTACGAATCCATTTTTGATCAGCTGTCTTCGAAGGCCCAAAAACAAAAAAGCAAATGTTCAATGGTGAAACAGATTGATTAGACGAGAAAAAACACTGGCAATCAGAGACGGCCGGATAATTAAAGACGTCCGTGTTTTTTTCGTACTAGAACAATGGATAGGCCACTTAACCCGAAACATGTGTGCCCACCGGTTTGCTGCTAGATTACTAAGACGGAAACTAAAAGTTGTCATTTGTTACTTGTCAGCTAACCCCTAGAAGAATCTATATATGGCTTTCATTCATCAGTATTCACGTTCTCTGTTTTCATAGTCAATAATTTGGTCTTTTACCACCACATTCAACCCCATTGTCTCTTTAAAAAGAGTGCGTCAAATAAACCCGGCGAAATGTAGTACCAAAAGGTAATTGAAATGTTAACATCTTGCTACATAGTTTTTCATTCAAGATTGGTGTTTCACTTGTGTATCGTCAGATGAATAACCATCAACCACCACCAGTTTTCGTCTTTTCTCTTGGTTCATCTAATTATTTGTATAAGGCATGATCTGTCTGCGATTAGCTGTGCGATGAACAGAACCGAATAGGCATCAGTTCTACTACACTGGAACACGAAATTAGACGAACTGTCAGCGCCATTTCCACCGAAAAAGTCTCGCAGAACATCTGCGTTCAGGCTCACTTTTACATCAACCAAGGACCACCAACAATGAGGATATACTGTAAGTTTTTTCCTGTGTACAAATAATGGAGCATCAGTTTCTGAGTTCGGTGCGGCGCAACTGTTAGTTGGACATCCTTCTAATGAGGGCATGAAAGTTGGTTTCTCCAAACTGTACTTTAGGAGGACTTCTAATTCATTGAGTTACCAGGAATTAAATATATTTTTTGACGTTCACGGAAAGATGAGACAAAATTAGGCCTTTGAAACCACAAGTTACAGATTCCGTTTGGTACAAATGTAGTTCTTTATCTGAAAGATGCATGTTTTGTAACGAGTCGTTTTTAGGTCAATTATTGTTCATAATGCACATCAATGACTTATCATGAAAGATCATACCGTACAAACCAGAATCAGACAATCACAGACAAGACAGTTCTTTTATTCAGTCTATATAAATGCCACCCGGCCCGAAGGTATGGAACTGTCCACGAATAGCACAGCTGGGTGCTACC